GACGGCTGGCTGTCGATACCCGTCGTATTGGTATTATGACATCTATGATTTCACCATGTTCAATATCATTGATCTTTTGCATAACTCAAGAAAATTGTTTAGTAATAAGACTTTTTTTATACTGTTTCGCCCGTGTTCGATGATATTGAATCGTCGAACAAAAACTAATTATACTTCTAATATGAAAATAATTTCTTATCCAGCTGATTCTGATGTGATTAAGATAAAATTATTTTGTATGTCTGATTTAATAAACTCAATAGATTGTTCATTACTGTGATATTGTATAACTTGATAGTGCTCTTTTGAAAGACTGCTTTTCAGTTTTTCAATATATCGTTGATTTTCATCATTTTGGATTTTTTTTTATCACACTAAATAATATTGTTTGTCAATGTCTGTTGATGAGTTGAATAATAATGAATATTTTTTTCAAAACGATTAAAATATTCAATAAGATTTTGAATTTGTTTCGATTTTTTATTTTCAACATCTTGAATATTGTTTCTTAATTTTTCATATATTTCGGCTGATTTTTTTCGAAAAAATATTTCACTAACAGAGACACAGAAAATAATTTTTATCTCTGCAACAACAACATCTACTATGGCTTCGCTACTGAACAATACTACTATTCCATCTGCTATAGAAAGCAAATCAAAAGCCAAAAAAAAAATGAAGCTTTCACAATTTCATCATCGATATGATGAATCAGTTCTTCTAGATGATGTCTTATTTCATTTCTATTAATACATGATTCAAGTTGATCGAGTGTATCTGAGAATATTTGTTTTGCATATTCCTTTTGTATAGTTATCTCATGTCCGATACTATTTATTTGTGTATCATATCGTTTCTGAATTTCGGTTATTTTTAATTTAAGTTAATAGATTTGAACTATATTTATATGATAGATTGCATGCGTTTTTCGTAATTTGTTCACTTCATAAAATGTTTCATTCAAATCTTCTATTGATTTGATAATCAGATTGTTCAATAAATGTTCAAATACTATTTCTTGTTGTTTAGCTAATGTTAATAATGTGTCTATAGTCTAGAAAAAAAAGTAAAAGAAAAATAATTATTTCTCAAGAAATGAGATCAACAGAAAATAATGTAGTTTCTAATCATATTGTTTATATATCTATTCATTTTATGCCATTGAAAGTATCGACTGCTAACAAAATATAGTGTCGCATAAAACAAAGCTTTATGTGACAAGGGGTAAGTACAGATAGGCTTCTAATGTAGGATTTAAATGTGATGTCTTCAATAGCAACATTGAAATAATTCATTTGCGTTTGTGCTGAAAGTATTTTAGAAAAAAGTCAAAGCAAAAACATAAACGACAAAATTCTTTCAAACTCGATTACTTTTATTATAGTTCTCTGATTCTATGAGATATAAATTTAGAATAATTTCTATTCTACTTACAGCCATATTTTGATAACTTTTTATAGTTTCAAATACGTTTGAAAAGAGGACGACTAATTTATTATTCTGTAATTTCAGAAATTCGATTCGAACTTGATTCAGAAATTTGTTTTAATCTTCAGTTAGCGATGATTATCCAGACTGAAAAATATAAACGTTCAAAAACAATTTTAGAATTTTCAAAAAATTGTTGCTTTAATAGCATAGCTTATACGATCAGATATGTGTAAATTTTCTTAAAAATAAATCTCTCAATTTGCCAAAATTTCTATATATTTTTTTTAAACATATCTTTATATTTATATCAGAGATGTTCATGGCATCACGGTAGCAGCACTATTTTTGAAAATATCAGCAGCTTTATAGCTGCTACGAATATCGAGCCTAGATCCTAGGCTCCAGAATTAAGAGAAATTTCGAAAACTGCTAGACAGCTTCGAAAACATTACTACCCTGTGCTAGTAATTAACTAAATTTCTCAAAATTCGACTTGTTTTCTTGGAGTACGCTCCCGGCTCTGATAGGTCTGCATGACTTTGTGGAAGAAAAAAGTTTGGAAGTTATTGTATTTATTGGATCTATTGTATTCCTAAAGTGAATGAAACTTTCAGTCATTTCTAAACATGGTGAATTGAAGGTGTGAATGTGGGTAGAGTATAGGTGCGGAGATGGATAGAAGTGAATAGAATTTCATATATACACCCACCCCCGAGTAATGTGAAGAACGAGTGAGATAACTGAAGAAACAAACAGAAAATAATTTGAAAATGTCAACTATGTATCTCTTAGAGCCTCAATTGATACATATATAATATATATGAAAGGTTTTCAAACTTATCATCAATTTCACTAAATAACTTTTCTTTTAGGAAAGAAAAGTGAAAGTGGCATTGCTAGTACCATATGTGATAAGGAGACGAACTAAATGCGCTGTATTAGCACAAAATTTGAGCTAAGGATCGAATGGATCCCGAATGAACATTTTTTTGTTTCTAATAATTTTAATAATGCAAACAGATTAGTTTAAAAAGTTGAGACAAATTTAGATAATAAAGAGTTTCATATATAAGTGCAGGGCTAAAATAAGATTAGAAATATTCAATAAAAGATTTTTATGTCAGTTTGTGTTCAAACAGCAGCCATTTGATGCTGTAATTCTTTTTGTTGATCATTTACCAGGTTTAACTCGTTTGCACTCATTATGGAAGGTCTTTTTCAGGCATAAGTCCGGTTCACAGCATTTACTTTGTGTTAAGACACTGCATGTTATACATTTCCCATTAGCACGTTTTTCATAGTATTCAGCAATATCCAAGAATTCTCTGGCCTTGGCATTAGATATTTGAAAATCATCGTCATCTGCATCGGCTAGTTGTATTCGACGAGCATTGCTACTTTTCATGAAAACCATTATAAATAGTGCCAGTAATAACATAAAAATTATGCTTGAACGCATGATGTATTACAAATGCTAAATGGATAAAATAGATAGTAATAATCATTATTTTTCATGTATTTTTGTGTAACTGTTTTGAATATTTAAACAGCATTTCTCGTATATATTACATGTATGACATGAATAAGTATTACTGAGACACAAAGTAACCGCTATTCCTACTTAATGTACAGTCTCAGTACAACACTATAATAAATATATTTATATGTGCTTACAAACATTTTGCACGACCTTTAACAAAGTTCGCCATATCAACCGCAAAGACAGATTTTGTACAATAATCAATGTGTACGTACTGAACTACTATAGATCTTACTCTAAATATTAATTGTGCATTCCAGCTTTTAGAATAAATATACATCTGTGAACAAAATGATCAATTCTTAATTACAAATAGAGAAAACAAAGAAGTTAGATTCAAAGTTGACAAAATAGTAAAAGGACATCATTTTTATATAAATCATATTCTCTTGAAACTAGATTCACTACACACTTTCGTATCATATTTCTGTTTCTTATTCAATGTTATTTTTTAAAAATGTTAGGTCGTGGTAAATTTCATGTTTAAAATTAGCTACTATTGCTATTGTATCAATTCTAATCTTATTATCCTTGAACAAATGTAACGTATCAAAGCCACATTCAGCCATTAAATATAGATTTGGTTTTTCAATTATGACTATCCAATCAAAAAACAATAGAGATGTATAGTAATTATAAATATGACACTGTAAAAAGCAACTAGGTATGTCACAGGATGAATAGTCGATTTTCTCTCGCAAATTGTAAACAATTATTTTCGATGATAAAACAAATGGAAGACAGTTTTACGAAGTACGAGAGTGAAGGACTTTTCTTACAAATTGCTATGATATATGTACATCTCTAAACGGATAAAATACGGTAAATATCTCATTCTCAAAAGTATTTTTCGATGATCAACACAGATGTCTTCTATAAGAAATCTCATCAAAGCGAGTTTTTCAACTATAATTTTATGTTTAACCAGTCCATGCAAGTGAAAAATGTATTGCGCTCTTTTTTAAAGCTTTCAAATGACGTGTATTTCTAATAATGACGTTGAATAACAATTAAATATGGAGTTTCGATTGATAATTTTTATTCAGAATGCAAAATTTGATAGACAATAATGGAAATGATGTATGCTTTTCAAAAAAATTTTTATATTATCCGTTTGAAAAACAAAAGATTTACGGTGAAAGACAGTTGAAATTGAGAAACTGTGTGCTGAATGCTTCACTTGTACTTTTACTGTACATATCAAAACATTTCATATTAATAAATTATTGTTTTTATTTATCATTTGCCTTCATAACGACGATCTTAAACTTCTAAACGAAATGAGTTCAGCTATACACTGAAATTATCCATCTTTATACATGCACTAGACAAAGTATTAAAATGTGTGAAAGTATCGATTTACTTTATTATCAACTCTAACTTTATATCGACTGAAATTATAAACCTTAACAAGGGATAATTTATGTCATTTAAATCGGTATCACTATACCATCTTTCAATGCAAATATTAACATTAATGCTTACCTTATTTTGAATTTGTGTTGTACAGAATTTAATGTTTGCGCTTATTCATTTTTAAACGTCCTTAAATATTATAGAATATCTTTTTACACATATATTATTTCTATAATCTTTCGATAAACAAGAAAAAAAGAACAAAAATTATCAAATACTCTAGAGAATTGTAAATATTTAACTACAATACGCATTGAGGCTACATTTCATTCATTATTACTATTTACCTGGAGAGTTTCTCTTTTATTGATTTAGTGGCACTTCTCTTACAAAAATCTCTAATCGATTCATTCTCTATATAATATTATTTCTTCTTGATATTATGCAGCAAAGGTAGTACATAAATATTACTAAAATATATGTCATTAACTACGCAGAAGATTAGTCTTTGTATATATGCAACGGTGATTATTCATACACAAATGAAAGAGAAAAATGTTTCTAGCCTGTAGGCTATTTAGTTTCATGAATAATCCTCCATATTTTCTGTGCACTCACTGTATATTACTGAGATTTCATATCAAAATTATATATATATATATTCAAAGACTTGGCCTTGAATTAAGCGCACTGTTGGATAATGAATTAATCAAGTTTTAAATATATTCATTGATTTACATAAACAAACTGTGAGCTACATTCATGATTCAAGTGATTTCAATTGTACATAAAAAAACATACATAGCAGAGTGTGAGTGTAGAGAAAGAATATATTCAAACCTATCACCCACATCTACATCCTCGAATTATCTTGTCGACTATCAATAAAATGTTGATATTGATCAATATCAGAGAACATTTTCAAATGACCATCGAAATTGATTCTATTATCATTTTAAAATTAAATTTTCCATATCTTTTTTATATAAAAATGAATTACAAATAGGTCATTCAGATAATGTAACTGTATATAGGTATCTTTTCATGTGATGAAAATTTTTCGGAATATTAAAATATTCATCTAGGCAAATAATCCGATAAGATGGCAACGAAAAATTTTTCTTGATAGAACGTTATAGATCAATTTGGACGAAAATTTAATGTTTATTCAATATTAAAACAAATTTGTTATGATGCTACTTATGATTATTATCGATAAATAATCCGAGCTAGTAAATGTGTTCTATAAGTATGCGGCAATCGTTTACACAATTGATCAATATATCCATCATGAAATTCAACATAGAGTTTGTATCATTAATCATAGAGTGCTATTAGGCAAATCAATATTGAAATGAGGAGATATTTGCTTGATTAGATCATCATAGAACATTTCAGAATTAACACAAAATAATTGATAACGGAATGAATATTCGATGTCTAGTGACTCTCTTTTTGATGCACTGTGTTTTGGGTGTGGATCTTCTATTATCTCACGTCCACAACCACACTCACACACCCACCCTATTTTTGAAACAGCAGCCTTGTTGATTTGATTATGGTATACTTAGGCATATTATTGAGAAATTTTATTGCAAATGTCAATAATTCTAAGTCAAATATGTCTTTGTATAATGCAGGCAGATAAACTGCACCGATCTGTGGAGCTTGTGAACGAGTGAAAATACTTTCCTAGTAATATATTGCTGTATGGCATACTCTTCTTATTATTGCTGAGAACATGAAAAATGGTATCTATAGAAGTTTTTTGCTTTATTTTGTTAAATATACGAGCAATTATCAATATTTTAGTATGAAAATGAAGCCCGAGACATGTCCTTTCATGGGTAAAAAAATGAGTACATTTTCTTGAAAACTGGGCCTTATGGAGCCTTGACAAATACTGGATGATGATTAGCATGCCATTTTCTTTTAGTCGAATGTTTGCTTCTGAAACTTTTAGGAAATAATGGAGACCTGTGAGGGAACATCTCCTGAAAATTTCAGATGGATCCATTACGCTTTTTATGGAGTTGTGGGTCTAACGATGTTAATGCATGGTTTTCGTGTACATCAATGATTACAGTAAAATGGTCATAACTCTTCACTGACTCGCTGACCTTCGATGAAATTTATGCTGTAGATAGCTACAGTAGAGTGCTACACAATGAGATGTTGGCCAGCTCAAAAAGTCTTTCTTTTCTCGAATTATCAGTTGTACAAGAAAGATGACTACTACCTATTATAACGTCGTTTCAATTCAAGCAATTATGATGGGGTTGGTATTTGTGATCAGGGTTCGACATGCTCTATTTATGGTCAAAATATGAGGCCAAACGGTTAAAGTTTTAGTGATTTTTGAGGGAGCAGGACTTTTTGCGACTACTGTATTTCTATTGTTGTCTATGTGTTTTTCTTCTCTCGTGTTATTTTTTTTCTACAAAACTATTTTATGATGAAAATATATGAATAGTAATAACTTCGCCTTTGTTTTTCTTGAAACATTCTTCAGCTTTGGTACTGTGTGGCACTTTATCATTCAAAATAAAGTATCAAATGGCACTTGGGCTATACATTCAAAGTACCGAAAGGCACTCTGCCTCAGATTCCTATTAAAAACACTGGTTACACTCTTAGTACAACAACATTACAATATTAAAGATGAAATAAGAAATAAAGTTGAACAATGTTATATCATTCATCAAATTCAAGTTCTAATGATGGTCTCTATATGGCTGAAAATTCAACATATTAATAAAAATTATAAAATTAAAATTTTCTTTACTTATTCCATTAATCTTTTTATCATTATATTTTTCTTTTTATGTTCTCTCTAATTGACTTTACATTGCTATGTGTTAGACTTTACAATGTCTATATAGCTTAAAAAAGAAGAACATTTTCAATATAAAAATAAAACTAAAAAAACCTGACATTAAATAATAAATAGATCAATTGTTGATTTATTACATATCAATTCATGTTGCATCTTAAAATAAAAATACAATTTTTTTTGTTATTATTTATCTTTAAAAATCTATATTTTACAAATTTATTATTGATAAGCAAGATCTTGAAAAGATCATATGTATGTGAATATCTTGGTTGTATCGTATAAATCTGCACTAAGGGCCTTGTGAAAATAATAGAGAAGATATCGTTTACTATTATCTTCTCATCAGATGTTGAGTAAAAGAACAATATCATTAGTATTTATGTGCTGACTAATCATTCACCATTCTTTTTATGCAAACAGAGCCGTATATAAACAACGTGTTCGAACATGTAAAACATAGATTTTCAAAATAAATTTTTGTAAAAAGTATTTCTCGAATATTAATTATTCGAGAATATGCTAATCTCGATCAATCATCGAGAGAGGACTACCTTGAAGTAGTCCAATAGAGATCGAGCCATCTCAGGGTGAGTCAGATTCCAAGGTCTGACTTGCTTCAATTATTTGAGATAGGAATAACTCAAATGAAAATAAAATGAAAAAGTGTCATAATATGATTTTACAGAAAAAAAACAAATTCGCTTTATGACAGGTTTGAATCATGATTTCATAATAAATCATGTATTCTGTCGCAAATCACGACGTATGAAATAGATTTTATCGTAATATGTGCCTAATATCTAATGAGTTCAATCCTAAGATCTTATTAATCTGTACCCAAGATTCTAAATACCTGTAAAAAAGATCTTGCTTACAAGATGTTTGACTAGGATAACTATTTCGAAATGTAATTTGTACGTATTGATATTCGATATTTCTTTAAAAACGCTACAACAGCACATAAGTTGAATAGTTATTCAATAAAATGTTTCTATTAAAGTTAATATATTTATATTCTACTTTTAGTTCGCTTGGTTGTGTATAATATCAATTGTTCTATTGGGTATCGCAATTGTAATTGACTTCATTTGTGTTCGGGCATTTCCATCTACCATAAGCATGAGCGACCATGATCGTTCAATAGTTATCTTCTTCATTGTTATTATTTGCATTGCTTGTTTGATTCTTAGAGTAAGTATTTTTGTGAAACACGATCTGAAAGGAGTGTTGAAGTGTATAGGGTAGAAATTTTGGACCCACCCCCCCCTCCCCCCCCACAGACCGTGACAGAGAAAATCCATACCTATCACAGACCGTGACAGAGAACCTCCGGACCCATCACAGACCGTGACAGAGAACCGTGGGTACCCATCACAGACCGTGACAGAGAATCCGGGTACCCATCACAGACCGTGACAGAGAATCCGGGTACCCATCACAGACCGTGACAGAGAACCTTGAGTACCCATCACAGACCGTGACAGAGAATCCGGGTGCCCATTACAGACCGTGACAGAGAACCCGGGTACCCATCACAGACTGTGACAGA